TTTTTGAACAAGCTACTATTTCAATTTTATGCATGCTGCTGGTTATCATGTTCTATTGCATGTGTTGGATTGTATAATATGGAGGAGTAAAAGTTGCATTTTACACACCTGAAAGATTGAAAAATCTCCTGCATGAAAAACCTTTCTACAGGGTCATCCTAACCTTTCAGCAGTAGCACCTGGAGAGTAGAGTTTTGACGAATTTGTCTTCTTTTTTTTATTTGTTGTCGTTTCAGCGTGTTGCGGCCCTGCTATGAGAGGTTGTGCGCATGGGTGTCTTTGTTTTGTAATAAACTTCCAGAGCCTGATGGTGTTCATGATATTCAGAACATAGGCAAACGTTGTTTCCACCTTCGAATGTAACACTATGTGGTCTTTAGGTCCTCACAAATTGAATAACTTCCCTCTGCGAAGAATCGCTCAAGCCTTCGTGATCGCCACTAAAACCAAGCTCGATGTATCTGGAGTGAAGATTCCGGATCACATCAATGATGACTATTTCAAGCGAAAGACGTTATCTGGCAAGAAAGGAGAGAATATTTTCGCTGCCGGAAAGGTTGAATACCAGGTCTGTTTTCTACTCCAACAGCTATTGTTTTTGGGTAGTTGGTTTCTATTGCAGTTTTTCAGTTGTTTTTTTTTGCAAGGTTAGATTTTGATTTTGCAGTGTATTCGGCATTTCAGGTTACTGAGCAGAGAAAAACCGATCAGAAAGCAATTGATGCACCAATCCTAGCCGCTATTAAGAAAAACCCTGAACACAAGTTCCTCTTCGGTTATTTGGGATCGCGGTTCATGTTGGGTAAGAGGCAATATCCTCACAACATGGTGTTCTAATTTTGTTGTTGACAATAAATTGTTTGTTATTTACTTTTTTTCGTCTTTGTGCCTGAAAATGAAAATGGAATCATGGCAGGTGTTTTGGCGTAAGTAAACTGGTTTAATATTCTCTTTTTGGGTACACTTCGACACCAAAGCTCCAATAAAGTAACCGCAGCAAAACTCGACGTATTCGAATAATACCAGTACGCACTCTTGTGCACTTGTGAGGAAACTGGATGTTTTTAAGAACTGCATAGCAGATTTCCTGAAATGTACACTGGTTTGCAGCTAACTGGGACGCGAAAGGAAAAACCCGATCAGGAAATTTTGCTTTGGCAAGAACAAGAACAGACAACTTCTTTATTGAAAGGATAGCGACCTGGCTCACACGAAAATCATGCTTAGTTATCGAAAAAAAACTCATGAACAAACTCTGAAAATCAAGTAAGTGCCCCTTGTCTGTAGTCTCCCATGGCTTGGTCACTTGTAATTGAAAAAATCTACATCATGCTAGCTATGCTCTCGAAAACAAATCGGACGCCGTAGTCCCGTACCTCTTAGGCTTTCGTACTGAAATTGAGTGTTGAGTGAAGCTGAGTGAAACAGTCTATGAAACGCTGTCTAATATGGTTCTTGATGCTTGTGATGCTTCATGATGTCACATGTGTCATAACTTTGCGAGGGTGACAGGCTTAGCCACAAGAACAGAAAGTACAAATAAGAGCACAAATGCTTTGAAGAATAGATTGTACATACGCTTCTAGACTAGTATTTATCAAATCACAAACATCTGTAGTATTTGCGATGGAACGAACATGCTATTAAGTGAACTACTTATGGTATTACTCGGGGTTCATCGATGGAGTCTGTAGAGGCGATTAGGCTAAAGAAAAGGATACATACTAAGCGAATGGGCGAATGAGCGGTCACTGGAGGGGAAGCGAACCAAGTCGATACGTATACAATCTTACTTGCTTGCTCGTCTAATCGCTTGTCGCATGTGAAATCTCGAACTAGTAGCATCGCCTTATTAATCCGAGCTATCACCTTTATCAAGGCGGAAAGTGGTGTAGTGGCAAGCGGCACGCTTACCACGCGCGCGGTCCGGGGATCGAATTCTGGGCGGGCTTCGTCCCAGGCCAACCAAGCCTTCCATCGGTTAATTGGGACCAGACTTGTCTGGGAGGATAAAAACACTGACTTGTACATCGGCTGGCCCCCGCAAGTCATTGTATAGGCCACATCGCATTCAAACGCCACTACGAATGTACAAATGGAAGTAGAATGCGTGCCGCATCCCAAAAAGGGATTGATCAACGGCAAATGCTTTATCCTTTATCCTTTTTTATGACCTCTATCATTCCCTCGCTAGAGGCCCATCTTCATTCTTCCATTCTTTACGCAGACATTCGTTAACTACCTGTCATCATCGACGAACCTCTGCTGTTCTGTGAGTGCCCAGACCCCTCCCCCGATCAAGTGGGGCGGTGCGCGGGATGATTCTATGCCTCGGGCACCCTCGATACGGGCAGCGTTGGGAACGGGCAGGCCCCCCATTCTTGCTCTCTCCTCAGTAAATCATTCTACTAACCTTTGTTTTATCGTTGCATTGAAAAGGGCTATCACACCCTTGTCTTCCAGCACTCATCCGAGTTATTACCGTTGTAATCAGAATACCCTTTTCACCCTTACAATCGTCGTTTCCCCTTTCTACCGACTCCATTTGGTGTATATCACTTTATACTAGCTGCAAGATTGTTGAGTAGCTGTCATATTTCCTCATGGAATAGAGGGATAGGCGCTCGTGTGGCTAAAGGGGATATTGAAGCGAGTAAGCCACTTACAGAACATGGGATGAAGTTTCAGGGAAGAAAGGAAGGGAGAGGACGCGAGCATCCCTTGTTCTCCCTGGCCTTTCTCCCCTCTGTCGTGCCCTCGCCGGGTCAGGGCGGTAACTCGTGGACGGGCTTCTACAATCGCAACCGATGAACCCATGATGATGGCCCCCTTTTCTTCACTAGTTATTGTTTTTGGAATAAAGCTGTTGAAAAAGCCTCTATTCGTTCCTATTGGTGGTTAAAGATTTGTTTATTTGAAACATAAGCTCATTTTTAATAAGATTAGCTCCGTTTATGAAAGTAAACTACTTAACTTTTAGTGATTGATTTGAGGATCACAGTCTAGAATGGAAGGTGCCCGATTCAGGAGGGAATTCTCGGAGAGATTGAGGATGAGCAGGGAAAAAGAAGGGCTAATTCCTGTTCCGGCCTTTTCTGCCAAATTTCAGCATTTGGAAAAAAAAATTCGGCCTTCGATAAGGTAAAGGATAAAGCATTTGCCGTTGATCAATCCCTTTTTGGGATGCGGCACGCATTCTACTTCCATTTGTACATTCGTAGTGGCGTTTGAATGCGATGTGGCCTATACAATGACTTGCGGGGCCAGCCGATGTACAAGTCAGTGTTTTTATCCTCCCAGACAAGTCTGGTACCAATTAACCGACCCCGGAGGGATGGAACGCCAGGATTTGATCCCCGGACCGCTCGCGTGGTAAGCGCGCCACTTGTCACTACACCACTTCCGCCCTCGATGGCAGGTACTGCGCGAAAACCTCTTACCGAGCAAACCACTCCCTTGCTAGGATAAGGGGGACCGAGCATACGGACTGGTTCCTCCGCCAGGTAGGGTGGAAGTTCGCTTTCCACCACCAGCAAGAGGTGGAAGGGATCCGGGCCGCGATCAAGCGGCTCGCCGACAACGTGGCGTTGTGCTAGGAGGTAATATTTGAGTATGATACTACTTTTCAAGGATTTTAAAACATCTTTTCATTTCAGATTTCCGCCCTAATGCAACAAGCACGTACCAAAGGGCGTCCATTGTAGCGCTCCGGCGGGAACCCCTTCGGGTTTATTAAGTGGTCCGAAGACCACCAGGATGCTGCTCCGGGTGAAGAAGAAGCACTTTAGGAATAAGCATCGGCTCAATTTTATTTTATTTGGACTGTTCCTATTTTTTCCTTGAATAAAGTGTTTTTTCCTGGATAGTCCTATTTTCGAGCCAAGTTTTGAAGACGAGTGTTTTCAGACGAGTGCTACAGTGTATTTCTTAATTAATTATGCTTTTTTGAGTTTTACTAGTAAAATCTACGATGGAAAAAAAACTGTGAAAAACTTTGACTTGTTGGTGAGATACTGCAGACGAGGGCATGGCGCAACCTGAAAAACGTAATAACTTCCATTTCCGTTGTATTCGTTGATTGAAATAAAATTACATAATTCGGTTCCATGTAGTAAAGTTAAAAGGACAGGCACTGAATACCTTCACACCGAACGTTTCGAGAGCGCATATTCATGGTAGACTTTACTCAGAACTAAGGAAGCATATTCAATCAACTCTATACAAGCACTTCAGAACACTTGTCCAGCTGTCCGAAAAAAAACCAACCGCATTAGAATACTCTTTATATTTAGCAGATATCACCTCTCCTTCCACTATGACGATTTCAAAACATTCTTCTTGGCAATCTGAATGGCCTTAGTCATCCTCCCCGGGGCTTAGGTCCTAGGGGTCACCTACCAACTGGTTTTTGTGAAGAAAGGCGGTGAGCGCAAAGGGATATCCTTCAATAAGGGAAAAAGGTGCGTATAACAACGATGTTTAAAACCAAATGGGCTGTGTTAAAATTATTTTTGTTGCCTTTCAGTTACACATGGGGCTCATAACGACTGCTGGTAGCTAGAGACACATTTTGCTCTAAAATGATGTTTGGGCGAAACAACAGGAATTCGATAAAAGCTCAAAAAAGCAAAAAATTAACCCCTCATTTGGCACTATTCCACTATTGCTGCCTCAAAATCTCAAAATTTTCATTTTTCGTCGAAACTCTGCTGACAGGAGCTGACCCGATTGCCGCATCCTACTTACTATAAAGCGCTTCGTCTGTCGTTCTGTCTGTCGTCTGTCCTCTGTCTGTCGTTCTGTATGTCTGTCACGAAATTCCCTAGCTCCTCGGGATCCGCCTGGAGGGACCGGGTCAAGTGTGGGATGGGTGGGCAGGGTCTCACGTAATACAAAACACACATCAGCTAAGCGGAGCCCCGCCCACAGAGGGCGTGGCGTGCGTCGAAATGAATTGTACCGAAGACCAAGATTTCGATTTCAGTGACAAAACGACCTCGAAACTGGGCCAAAAAGTGGGCTAAGGTGTGCATTGGTAAGTAACATTCGATCCTACTTACTATAAAGCGCTTCGTCTGTCGTTCTGTCTGTCGTTCTGTCCCTCTGTCTGTCGTTCTGTATGTCTGTCACGAAATTCCCTAGCTCCTCGGGATCCGCCTGGAGGGACCGGGTCAAGTGTGGGATGGGTGGGCAAGGTCTCACGTAATACAAAACACACATCAGCTAAGCGGAGCCCCGCCCACAGAGGGCGTGGCGTGCGTCGAAATGAATTGTACCGAAGACCAAGATTTCGATTTCAGTGACAAAACGACCTCGAAACTGGGCCAAAAAGTGGGCTAAGGTGTGCATTGGTAAGTAACATCGAATTAGGGAGACCCACCCCCGGTGGGCGGGGCGTTCTCTAAAAAAGCAGTGCTTTATGAAAAATTTCATAACTCGGTTGGGAGAAAGCCTACAGAGCAGAAAACAATTCGGTGTAAGGGAGCAATGTCTAAGGTGTTTCCCGCATACATGACGTGGGCGGAGGCCTGCCCAGAATGGGCGGGGCGCGCTCTGAAGTGTACAGCATTTTCTACAAGCCCTCATAATTCGGGTCGGGGAAGTCCTAAAGAGCCGGAAAAAGGTGGATAGAGGTGTATGGAGGAGTGGAGGCCAGCTGTCATTGGTGGGCGGGGCCTGACCAAAGTGGGCGGAGTTTGCGACGAAAATTTATAACTCGGCTCCATGAAGCTCCGGAGGCTGGGGAAAAGGTGGATAGAGGTGGGTGGAGGAGTGGAGGTTAATTGTCATTGGTGGGCGGGGCCTGACCAAAGTGGGCGGAGTTTGCGACGAAAATT